GAGAGAGAGAGCGAGAGAGAGAGAGGCGAGAGAGAGAGAGGCGAGAGAGAGAGAGGCGAGAGAGAGAGAGGCGAGAGAGAGGCGAGAGAGAGAGAGGCGAGAGAGGGGTCTTATGATCTCATTGGAATGGTAAAAAGGCGGAGTCAGAGATGCAGCGATTGCCAGGTTCATGTCACGACCACATCCGTGACCCGCCGCCGCCGCCGCCGCCGCCGCCGCCGCTGCTGACGTGAAAATGGTCGTATAATGTCATACAACCATTTTTCAGGGATTTTATATGATTTTTGTAATGATTAGTCAAGAAGCCAGAGCAGGATCTGACACATGAGAAAGTAGCAGTGTTGTAATGTTTTCTGCATTCTGCAGGGCGACAGTAGCTCAGTTGGTAGAGCATTGGCCTTCAGGCCTGAAGGTTGTGGGTTCAATTCCCACCTCTACACCTTCTCCACCGACTCCCACTGATGACTGCTGTCGTTGTGTCCTTGGGCAAGACACTTAACCCCACTTTGCCCAAAGCCCCCACTGAAAGATCAAGGCTATGCTCACAGTCAGAGAGCAGCCGTCCTCCTGTGGACTCACCACCTGCAGAGGGTCAGTGAGGGGCTGGTGCTATGAGACTTGGGTGGCATCTCTGACTGCCACCCCCCTGACCCAGAAATGGATTAAAGGGTAGAAAATGGATGGATGGATGGATATTATTTATTCATTTGACACGGACACAGCAGTTACACTGGACGGACCAGATGCACTGCCTTTAGCGTTATAGCGACCATGCTAATGTTCAACACCATAGGAGGCTTTTAGGACAAAATGTACAAATATAAAATTTATCAAATGTACAATTGCTTGAACATGTGAACGACGTTGTAGCCACAGTTTTAGACGTCTGGGAAATATGTCTGTTTTTAATAATGTCACAAATGTCATACCTGGATTTCCTGGATGTACAGGATATGACTGTCTTTTGTTGAAGATCCGTCTACAGACCTGACCCAGGCATTACTGCGGTGTCAGTGCTTCTATGTTTAATGGAACCCAAACACCAACACCAGAGGAGAAACTACTCCCTTTCACCAATAGTGTTTACAGATAATCTCCTTAAGAACGATTCAAAATCCAAACAAACCAAATGCGAAGATAAAATTGCTCACATCCGAGCATATGTTTATTCCTGAAGCTCTGCTACTGTGAAAGGAAAGCTTCCTGTTATGTAACAGGAGGTATTATGCATCCCTGGAGGGGCACAGGAACATGCAGAATATGCACATCCGTCTTAAGCGGGAGTCAAGTGCTGTGAACGGAGAGGATAGATATTGAAAGGCACATAATCGATAGTCACTTTGTGTGCCATGCTGGGGGCTAAATGACTTCACTGCTGCACTTATGACAGCCTCTTATATACTACCCTGCTCTTCAAACTGCAGATGGTAAATTATTCACGGCACTTTCGAACACGGCTAAGGAAGGACAGTGTGGGTGGAAAAGTTTGCTAATGTTATTGCACCCTTTCAAGGAGACCTCCAGGTGAACAGAACTTCTGATTGTTTCCCGTCTACATTCATCTGCCCAAAGGCATGTAATGCTCTTGTCATTACCCTAAACATTAAAATGGTTTGATTACATAATGTAATCTGCCCATATTTTAGAAACGAAACAAGACCTGTCAATGTACATCTTGTTCTCTCAGACAGAACTGCCGCAACAAATCACAATCTCAGTCTCTTAAGTAACGCCCTGCACTATGGGACTTTGGGCAGCCTCATGCTTCTGTAATGTTAAGTAAGAAAGACTCCCGGGCGGCAGTGGACCTTTCTGCACGGGGCTTTCATCTCTCTGTGTCTGTAGGTTTCCTCCAGGTGATACGGTGTCCCCTAAAACATGTACAATGGGACTATGGTTTATAGCAGTAGCAGCATACACACACTAATAAAATAAATACATAGGCTTCCCATGTAGTTTTTTATGATATGCCACATAAAAATTGCAATGTATGTCTGATAATGTATGGGAATGTATCCATCTACTTTTATTTTACTGCTTTACAACGACCTGCTCAGGGACTACAGGTGTAAATTAGCACTGCTGCTACAACCTGGTACAATGTATCTCTCCTTCTGGCTAATGTTTATTGTACACTGTCCCTGTAAAAATAAAAACCATACCATCCCATAACATTTGGCTGATTAAGGATTCAAAAGCCTAAATTAAAATTACATGCAAACAAATGAGATGCTGAGAAAAATGTTTCACAGTATAACATTGAATATATGCAGGAAGTGAACGTCTCCACCTGGACAAGCCAACCACTTAAAAGTAAGTCAATACATGTGGCCATTATTAGTGCCAAGGCATGATCGATATTAAAACCTTTCAGACTCCTGACTCTATACAAGAACTTGCACATAGACTGTATGCAGATGGACAGTGCTAACCTGCTAGCTTAATGAAGCCCAATGAGGAAGTGTTCATAGACACATTTTTGCTCAAAGTCGCTTCTATCGATACGTAAACTCCTCCAGCTCAGTAACCGTTTGTCTCGCCATTCTGGCCTTAACAAATCCACGGTTTGGCTCGCTCTATGATCCTGCTGTTAATGTTTTTATATTTTCTTTGTAATCAAATTATATACCAAATATATATATACATCATACATTCATTCATGGGGGAAAGTCCAACTTGTCTTAGCAACCACTGGCTTCCTGTCAAACAGCGCATCAATTTCAAAATACTCCTCACCACCTTCAAAGCACTTCACAACCTGGCCCCTCCGTACTTATCTGACCTCCTCCACCCTCACATTTTTAAATAAAATGTATTATTATTATTATTATTATTACCATGCTAACAAAACATCTGCATAAAGCTAACGCCATCGGAACAAATGCCCATTTTTGTGAAATTGCCACTTGCTAGCTTATCTTAAAATTGATAGTAAGTCCATTCCTATTATGCCTGCATGATTTTCCGGACATTTTTCTCACATTATTCTTTAAGTGATGTATTTCTTCAGTATTTTTTAGCAGTCCTGTCTGTTTCACATCAACTTTCTGAAGCCAAACCGTCGCTCCGTGATAGCAAATAAAGTTATCATTCATTCCCAGCGGCACAGACAGAGGCGTCCTGACCTTGTAGCGAGGATGCTACAAGGTGCATTTGGAGCCAATAAACTCAGGAAGTTGTGAGCAGAGACAGAGGAAACAGCATGTTACATTAGCCAATAGCAAGAGACACTCTGTATTCATGGAGGCGTTGAGAGACTGCAGGCGCCTATCCAATGTTGATGCTGTTCTGTCTGCATCTGCTGCACGTCCGGAGGGAGGGAGCGGGGACTGGGTGAAGGTACCATTTCACCTTTCGGCATGACAGCTACAGCCCGGAGTCTTGTCTAAAGGCCAAAAAACTTTCCTCATCCATCAGAGAAAATCAGACCTAATCTCGACACGGCTTCCCAGGAGAAGAGAAGTGGAAATCTAAGCGGCACATATCAGATACTTTGACTTTAATCACCAACTTGGAGTGCACCTGAAGGGGATGTGAAAAAAACTTTTAATGAGCTCGGGATGGCTTTGTGTGCCCATATGTTAGGCCCTGAGTAGGGATTCGCTTTATTTATGCGCCCCCAAACAAGGTCTATTCAAAGCATTTAGAAGCATCACTTATAGCGACTACAAAAAACACCTGCAAAGTCGGACAGTCCTGGAAATAATCTAATAGAAATGTACAAAGTTATGACGCTACTGTAAAACCTTTTGAATTATTTGTAGCACAAGTTAGTTTGCTGGTTTCAAAATAAGTTGCTCTATATGGAAAATGTTTAGAGACTATTGGACCAAACTTGCAATTTGATAAAGACACCTTTTTTGTTATTAAAAAGAACAAACAGTTGAAGGTCAATCAATGATTCTTCCTCTGGCTTAGGGTTAGTCAGACCCTGAATATTTAATGTGATGCTGTAAGCTAGGCCCAGATGGCACAGACTTCTGACAGAAATAGCAAGAAAATGTGATACTGTTATTGAATATCCACCTTCAGACTGACTCTGGATAGTATTTGTGGTGTTATGTGCTTACGGAACGAGGCTGGGGGAGTGTACTGCCATATGGATAAGCCTTGCCAGTGTCCCTGAGGTTGTCACAAATACTCTCTGCTTATACTTCCAATGACGCTTCTCAATATTTCTTTGTTCGTTGTTCATCATTTGTTATTCATTCAATAACCGCACAAGTGCCACACTGAGAATTCTGGCTCGGCAATGACAAAACCTGCTTCCAGAAAGAATGACCTTCACTCTTCACTTGAACACAAGAAAACAAAACAGAACCAATAATGAATAAATCTTTGTCAGGTTGCAGACGACACACACACCGCTCTACATTGTAAAATCGCAGAGGAACACTGCACTTGTCCGCTCTCTGCCGTCTTCCCCGCTCCGAAAGGTCACATTTTAGAGGTACTTTGATGACACTGAAAATGTTCCTCCAGACACGGCGCTCTCCTTTCCAATCTCCTTGCTTTGAACGGCTCATTGGAGGGGCTTTCACAGTTGACATGCTAATTAGTCCGCGGTGGGAAATGGACTGTGTAACTACCCTTTTCTTGCGCAGCCAACCTCAGAGTCCCCTATCTCTCCTCTTCTCGGTGACCGTGCAATGAATGACCTATCGCGGTGTAATAGCCGGGGCATCAATCCTTGTGATAATGTTGTATTATAGCCTCTTGATGCGCAGGTTTACAGGGGAAGCCGTGTGCTCTGTAATGCATCCAGTGGCACATCTCTATCTCCGCTTCCCTCAAATGCACCGGAGAGTGGCTGATCCATTAACGATATGCGGTTGTGGCTGTCAATATAGGGCGAGGTTAAACTTCATAAATGCATTCTGTGCTGAAAGCATATTTGCCGTTGTTTGTGGGAGATCCAGCGTGGGTGACACCGTGCATAAACACAAGGAATCAATAGGTGCTTAGAATGATATAAGTCGATACTCATTAGGTGTGCGTTTAACCTGTCAAAATATACATTGTCTACGCTTGTGTGTGTGTGTGTTTGTGGTATTTACGAGTTTAATTCCTCAAGGTGTGATACGAGAGCGAGACAAAACACAGGGAGGACCTAAATGCATTTACTGCTGCTCTAAATTCACACATGCGTTGCAAGATGTATGCAAAGATATTAGCAAACACATTATGCAGCCGTAATAAGATAAGTACAACAGCAGATCTGGGGCTGGAGGATTGGCTCCAGAAAACAACAGAAGTACAACTACTAAACTTTATAGGGAGTTTATCTGCGATTAATATGGTACTGGTAACTGGAGATTGAGGAGAATCAGGAAGAATACTGTGAAAAGTGATGAAAAATAAGTCAAAATTTGCTCATATTTGGAAAAAAAAACTTAATTTGAGCACATTATGTGGGGCAATAACAAAATTTGCCAATGGTATAGCTAAATTAGACTTGAAATAAGACTAAACGACTTTGTCCCATTGGCACATCTTGTTTTAAGACAGTCAGAAAGGACTCAAATTAAGATAAAAACCACTCAATTCAAGCAATCCTTACCTCATAATTTGTCATTTTTTGCAGTGAATATGTCCCTTAGAACCCCCCTAAGGTCTAAGGTCTAATGTCTAGAAAGCACATGGCGAGGAATATAAACTTATTCTCTTTCAGCAAATAGCTTCTTTGTCCCATGTGAGATTCTAAACGTGTAAAAATACATATATTTAGACAAAGTAATGTTATATGTTTGATTTTGAGTCATTCATTACCAAAGCAGTGATTCTACAAGACAGTTTAATTTGGTGTTGAGAAATCACACTCAAAGGCCCTTGACAAATTCCTTGTATCCACTAAAAAGAATTATTGCGTCTGGAAAACAAGCTCATTTTGTGACAGCAAAATTTGGGGCTCCCTGACTGACTAATTAGTTTGATATAAATGGGAAATGTCAGGCAGCCGAGCGTCAGTGGAAACAGTTTGTGCAAAAAGCATAAACGTCGACAAAACACGGCTCTATTTCATTTGAATTATTTAAATATTTTCTCTTAAATCGAATTTGCAATTTTAAAGCAAGTAAGCAGTCTCGGAAAGTAAGCAAATATATGCAATACATATTCAGTCAGTTTTTATTGGTGTCATGGGGAAAACGAGGGAGGCAGCGTTTCAGATTCATGCAGCTAAACTCTGGAACAGTCTTTCTGAAAATGTGAGACAAGTTTCTTCTCTGACAAAGTATCTTGTCTGTTTTGTTTTGTATTTTGAGATGCCTTGTGTATGAACTGTGCTATACAATTAAACTGGCCTTGCCTTTGCTAATTGGGTCCAGGTTTTTGTCTTTTCTGGGTTGATAGCTACTAGCTCTCGCTTCTCACCAAGAGGGTCCTGGGTTCAAATCCTGGTCGGAGCAAGGCCTTTCTGAGTGTAATTTGCATGCTATTCCAGTGTCTATAAAAGGTTTCCTCTGGGTGCTACGGTTTCCCTGCCACTAAAAGCAGCTTCAGAAATGGGTACCAGGCGCTGTGCTACGGCATTGGAAGGATGGGTCAAAGACGCATAACCTACAGGAACAATTAAGTTTATATTCACTTAAAATGTGGATAATAAACACAACAGGGCTGTTTAAATTCTATTACACATTATTGCTCCTGATTGGACCATGTGTCTCATTACATTCATTCAAAGTATTCTTAAACATAAAGCAGCAATTCCCAGCTTTCAGACTACATTTTTAATCCCCCATTAAGTTTATAGTATTAGCAAAAGAGACAAAACAGAGTCTGAATCGAACCATAAAACGTCTCTCCTCTGTATGCGACGCTTTAAAATGCTTGGCTGTGCATTGGTGGTCCTCTCTCCTCCTTTCCCCTCCTCTCTCTTCCTCTCTCCCGCAGGTTTGAATACATCCTGCTCACCCCATTGACTCCGTAAGCACGAGATTCTGTTCTGTCTGATACAAATTAGTAAGTAAGTAAGTAAGTTTTTATTTATATACCGCCTTTTCACTGCAGATCAGAGTCTCAAAGCGGTTTACAATTGTTAATTTTGGGCATTTGTCTCTCACTCCACACAGAGATGGGAGCGGGGCCAGTACAGGAGGCACATGCCAGAACTATTGGACATATTTTTAGTGGTAGGGGAAACCGGAGTACCCGGAGGAAACCTACGCAGACACGGGGAGAACATGCAAACTCCACTCAGAAAGGCCCTGGTCCGACCGGGATTCGAACCCAGGACCTTCTTGCTGAGAGGCGAGAGTGCTATCCACTCAGCCACCGTGCCGCCCGGCAAATCGCTAAATCTCGCAATTGTCCCATCCTTCTGCATTGTGCCCTGGAATATATACAATTCCCAGTGACCAGACTCCAACCTTCTGTGTCCAACGAGCCCTTGACAACGGGGCGGGGGCGGGAGCGGGGGGTCTATAGCGACGCCATCCCCATTCTCAAACCTGGACATTTCATTTCGATCTCCATGTGTGAATGTGGTGCTCTGAAGAGGCT